TTGCTGCTACAGCGTGGCGTTTGGAAGATATCGGCCTGGCAGCTCTCCAAGCCTGATAAAGGTCTGTAGTTGTGAAATCTCATGAAAGACTATTTGCCGGGACTTTGTTGGAGAGGAATTCCCTTTAACCTAAATAAAAGAGGTTTTATCGGGATGAGGAGTCGGCTTCATGCTCTTGGGAAGCCTAGGTCAGAACACTGGATACAGGAAGTCCTCGACTTACGACTCCAATTAAAACCAAATTTCCATTGCTAAGAAAGATGGTTGCCAATTGGGCCACACCCAATTTTACGCCCCTTTTTGGCCACAATATTAAGTGAATAAGTCTTATCATTTAAGTCGTTAAATGAATCATGTCATCCTTAAACAAATCCAGTTCCCCCCCAATAACTAGTCCCGTGGGCCAATAGGGTGAGTTCTGCAGTGTTGCTGAAACTTTTGTAATTTCGGGACTTTGCCGTAAACACTTGAGTGGGGCGGAATTATCGCGTAATTTTGAATGGTCACTAATTCAACTGTTTCCACTAGGGGATTGCCTGCATAGGCCGTTGGCCAAGTCACTTCATTTTGATCACATGACCTTGGGATGCTGCAACGGTTGTTAAGCCACCTTTTTCAGTGATGTCGCAACTTCGAATGAACGCTAAGCAATTTTTTTGTAAGTCGAGAACTACTTGTAATTTGAAGTCAGTCACAGCCATTCTGTGGCCATTGAAATCTGAAATGCCCAATTCATTGAAGGAAGAATGAAAGGACGTACTTCTGCCTCAAGATCCAACATTGAAAGAGACAGCTGGGTCATTACCGCTTTGTTTGCGTTGTTGCTAACCACCAGGTTGGCCCCATCCTTTGGAGGGGACGTGTTCAGGCCTCCACCAAAGTCATAATACAGCACCAGCTTCCCGTCTCGAACAGTCAAACACAGCAGCTGATTCTGTGGGAGGAAAAAGGACAAATCACGTTCAGGTTTTGGAGTCTAAAAGTCAACGCTCTACTCTGTATCTAAAATAGCAATAGCGATAGACTTATATACCGCTTCACAGTGCTTTTACAGCCCTCTCTAAGCAGTTTACAGAGTCAGCGTATTGCCCCCAACAATTTGGGTCCTCATTTTACCAACGTCGGGAGGATGGAAGGCTGAGTCAACCTTGAGCCTCGTGAGATTTGAACTTTCCAAATTGCAGGCAGCCGGCAATCAGCAGACGTAGCCTGCAGAACTGCATTCTAACCATTGTGCCCCCGTGGCTCATGAAATCCCTAAAAGTAAAGGTTTCTCTATCAGTCTCTAGTCCTGAACTCTAGGGCACGGTGCTCATGTCGGTTTCTCGGCTGAGGGAGCCAGCGGTGTCCAAAAGCAATTTCTGTGGTCATGTGTCCAGCCTGGCTATAACCCAAAGGCACACAGAATGCTGTTACATTCCTATCAAAGTGGTACCTATTTATCTACTCACATTTGCATGCTTTTTGAACTGCTAGGTGGGCAGGAGCTAGAGCAAGGAATGGGAGCTCACCCTGTTGTGCAGAGCTCGGGTCTCAACCTGGGCTGTCTGCTTTCTAGTTGACAAGCTCAGCGTCTTTAACCGCTGAGCCATCGCATCCCCTGCCTACTGTATATAAATGTAAAGGTTCCCCTTGCACATATGTGCTACTCGTTCCCGACTCTAGGGGCTGTGCTCATCTCCACTTCACGAGCCAGCGCTGTCCAAAGATGTCTTCGTGGTCATATGGCTGGCATGACTAAACACCGAAGGTGCACGGAATGCTGTCACCTTCCCAATAAAGGTGGTTCCTATTTTTCTACTTGCATTTTTGCATGCTTTCGAATTGCTAGGTTGGCAGAAGCTGGGACAAGTAACGGGAGCTCACTCCGTTATGCGGCGCTAGGGATTCAAACCACCAACATGCCGACCTTTCTGATTGACAAGCTCAGCGTCTTAGCCACTGAGCCACCACATCCTTATTGTATATAGTGCTGCTTTAATCTGGGAAAAAGCATGGGAAAATGAGGACACCTGCCTGGTGTTTCAAGAAGAAAATGATCCCGTGGTAGGACACCAACCGCATCTCCTGCTCAAAGCGTTTGATCGATCCCAGCTGGCTCTCAAAGGTAATTTCCGCGTATCCAGTCCCATCAAAATAGGAGCCATCGGTCAGCCAGGGATCACCCGTTGATTTAGATCTTTGAGAAGAAGGAAAGAGCGGGTGAGTGATATGCCCAATCTACACAGCCATGTTCTAGAAACTGAAAATTTGGAGACTTAAAAAACATGTATTAGTTGAATTTTGAGGAAGGAACATTAGAATAGAATAACAGAATAAGTTTATTCTCACTTTGAATGCACACTAATGGCATACATTAAAATGAAATTTCATTGCATACAGCTTTCAAAACGTCAATATACACTACATAAACATGATAAATAAATAAATACAAAATGATGCACATACCCACAATATTTTATGGCACAGAGAAACAACACAGTCTAGTTCAAATGTGTACATGTACATAGCAAGAAAAAGGAATCTTGCAGGTTTACCAGACGGATGGCATAGGGAACAAAGCTGTTACAGAATCTGGTAATCCTGCTAGAAATACTTCGAAACCTCCTCCCAGAGGGCAGCAACAGAAACAGAGCATGAAGTGTGTGTTTATGTGGTCTCTAACAATGCTTTGAGCTCTTAAGCACATGGCATAAGCAGTATCCTGAATAATGGGAAGAGAGCTTCTTATAATCTTCTCGGCTGTCCTTACCACTCTCTGTATGGACTTTCTATCGTATGCACTGCTGCCACGAAACCAAACAGTGATGCAGTTTGCTAAAATGCTCTCAATTGTGCCTCTGTAAAAAGTGGCCAGGATAGAAGGAGTAAGATGTGTTCTCCTCCTCCATCCCAGGAAATGCAGACGCTGGTTTGCACGCTTCACTAAGGGTGACGTGTGGAGAGACCAATTCAGATTGTTGGTAAAAGACGCTGTTTGTTTCAACACAGACTGTTGAAACACACTGAGCTTAGCTTGACGGAATCTTCCTGTCTCTGGCAAAGGCAGAGATCAGCAAATCAAATTATATACAGGTACTCCTCAATTTTGAACCGCGCATTTAGTGACCATTTGAAGTTACGATGGCACTGGCAAAAAAATGATCTGCAACCAGTTCTCGCCCTTAGAATCATTATAATCACCTGATCAAAATTTGGGCACATGGCAACTAGTATGTGTTTACGATGGCTGCGACATCCTGGGTCATGTGATCACCATGTGTTACTTTCTCCGCCAGCTTCCGACAAACAGAGTCAGCTTCGCTTAACGACTGCAGTGATCTGCTCAACCAAAGGTTGTCAAATTGTGTGCGACTCACCTAACAACTTCCTTGCTTAGCAGTGGAAATGTTGGTCTGAACTGCGGTCGTAAATTGAGAACGACCTGTACCACTGGGTCAATTTTCTTCCAGGGAGGGAGGTTCTTGACCGTATCATCACTTACCTTGTGCAAGGCCTCTCCGCAACGGTGTCGAGGTGGAACGTGCGCTGGAAATTGTATAAGCTCATCACCTCTTCATTAAGGGAATCCATCTCTATACAGCCTCGGTAGTTAGGATAGCGCAGAGGTGGAGGAGGCTGTTGGGGTGGGAAATAACCCATTTGTTGAATCTTGTGTTTCACTTGTGTTTCATTTTCTCAGCAGAAATAAACATTCCCATCTGGTTATTAAAGCTGCAAGTTGGTTGCTTCTGTAGCTTCTTGCTTCCTACTTTGACAGTTACTTAACTGTCCTGCCTTTGCAATCTCTTTGTCTAGTGGTGGACAATCGGTTTAACAACCGGTTCGGCTGAACCGATCCGAACCGATAGAATCCCACCCCTGCCTTTGTCAGAACTGCCATCTTATGCTAGACTTTTATATTTGCTAGCTGCTAGTCTGCTGTGAACTATTTGGAGGAGGGGGGAGGATTTGGAAAGGGGGGAAGACTAACAATACGTTGAACCTTCCAGAGGCATCATCTCAAGGTCAAAGCGTTGGGAATGGAACACAATGGCTCACCAACCAGCCCGCCATATAAGAGAGTGTTCTCAAAACAATTAATTCAAATATAATTGGACAATAAGAGACCAGCAGAGGGGAGGATCTAGATGGAGAAAGTTAACTGGGAAACTTTGGCGCGCAAACTTCAGTTCTGGCTTTTCCATACTGCGTTCCACTTGGTTTTTAGTAAAGTATGCCTTTTGATCCAAATGGAATCGAGGGTCTTTCTTGCCTAGAGGACCAAATTGGGGCAGGTCTGAAAACCTTGCTTGATGGTAACAGAAGACTGTCTCTGGCCACCAGCCCCCTTCAATATGGATTTCCCAGGAAAAGTGACTTTAGTCATATATTAATTGCCAGTTGAAGTTCCTTCTAAAACCCTTAGCATACTTAAAATGGTTATAGGTTTTGTCTAGAAAACATAAAGCCAGTTTGATCGAGTGGTTAAAGCACTAGGCTAGAAATCAGGAGACCTTGAATTCAAGTCCCACCTTAGGCATGAAAGCCATCTGGGTGACTTTGAGCCTATCACCAGGCCTCTCTGAGTTCTAGTCCCGCCTTAATAATGAAAGTTGGGTGGGGCCAATCACCAGGAGTTTCTGAATTCTAGTCCCACATTAGGAATGGAAGTTGGGTGGGTGACTTTGGGGCCAATCACCAGGAGTCTTTGAATTCTAGTCCCGCCTTAGGAATGAAAGCCAGCTGGGTGATTTTGGGGCCAATCACCAGACTGTGAGCTTGAGGCTTGCTTGAGGCAGGAAAGCTAGGTGGGTGACTTTGGGGCCACTCCCTCTCCTTCAGCCTAAAAATACCTCACAGGGATGTTGTTGTGGGGAAAAAAGGAGGAGGAAGGTATGTTGGATATACTTGCTGTTTTGAGTTATTGGTAAAAATGATGAAGGCAGAAAACAAATTAAACAAACAAATACAATCGTAGGTGTGAAAGAACTTCATAATTGTTAAGAACACTAAAAGAGTAACGGGCTAACCATGAAGTCACTAATGGCTACTACTAGTTTATGCAACCTGATTCTAAAAAGCCCCCAAAATACCCCTTGTCCAACACAAGCAAGCTACTCAGCAGAACTCACCGTGAAGCTGGAAGGGTAGCCACCTACATAAAAAATCGTATTATGGGGCTTGAAGTTGAACAGTCCATGTTCTCCTTTGGCAACACTGTCGCCCTTGGTCTCATGTAAGGTTTGCTTCTCCACCGTCACAGACATGTGTCCGTACTGCAAGATCCTACAAACCAGGAAGACAGTTGCTGATTTTGAATCTAAGGCTCTTATCCCTCTGCCAAAAAACAGCCTTCAAGAACGCCCACGAACATAAAAATAATATAATCCAAACCAAATGAACACAGAAGCAGAAATGCAGCAGAAAGCCGACAAAGCCCATGGTGCAAGGAAAAGACGAAACCCAGCTCAAGGAAGACTTCTTTTGATCAGGCTTTTGTTGTGCCCCACCAGCAATCAGAAGAGCTGGTGGCAGACTCAGACAGTGAGGAGGTTGGGGAGGAACATGGGCCAGTCCTGGAGTCTGGGGAAGGCTCTGATGAGGGCTCTGTGTCGGAGGCAGAGAGGGGGCCAGGGCCGTCTGACAGTTATCAGCTGCCTTCGGAGTCGGATATTAGTGGGACAGAAGAACAGCTGGAGCCTGCCCTCAGTGTGTATATGCACAGAGCTGCCAGAAGAAGGGAACAGCTAAGGAAGAAGGGCCGACTCGGGAGTAAAGGCATAGGTGGACAGTGAATGGCCCCTCCCATAGGGAATAAAAGAGGAGCGAAAGGGGAGTGGAGTTTGCAGGAGACAATTTGTTCATTTAATTAGTGTGAAGATTTGTTGGTGACTCTCAGAGACTCCTTGCCAAGTATTTGTACAGCCTTGCGTTTGGAAGATATCGGCCTGGCAGCTCTCCAAGCCTGATAAGGTCTGTGGTTATAAATTCACCCTTGAAAGACTCTTTGCCGGGACTTTGCTGGATGTGAATGAGAGGAAATCACGCTAGCTTAATAAAAAGGGGTTTTTGTCAGGACAAGGAGTCTGCTTTGTGATTTGATGAAGCCCAGGTCAGAAGAGCCTTAAAAGAAAGCATTTTAGCAGCAAAGGAGATTACTTCAACCTTCAAAACGATTTTCTCTCTTCTACCAAGCAGTACAGGTAATCCTCAACTTGCAACAGTTTGCTTAGTGACTGTTTTAAGTTACAACGGCACTGAAAAAAGTGACTTAGGACAGTTTTTCACACTTACAACTATTGCAGAATGCTTGTGATCATGAAAATTTGGATGCTTGGCAACTATCCTCACATTTATGACGGTTGCAGTGTCCTGGGGTCATGAGACCCCCTTTTGCGACCTTCTGACCAGCAAAGTCAAGGTAGATATTAGATTCAGTTAACCCTTTTACTAACGTAACAACTGCAGTGAATCACTTAACTACTGTGGCAAGGTTGTAAACTGAGGCAAAACTCACTTAACAATTGTCTCGCTTAGCAACAGAAATTTGCGGCTCAATTGTGGTCAATTGTGATCACCTATAGTGATTTGTAGAGAGCAATTTTACCTCAGAAACTCTCATCCACGAATCCACTAAGGAACATGGATTTTTGAAGCCCGTTTTTTCCCCCCTGCTTCGTTTGTCCATACCTGTTGATGCTGACAGCAGCAAACTGTTCTCCAATTTCTTCATCAACCATCAAATGTGTTGTTTCATTGCCTCCTAGTTTGTAGATCCATTCCACTTTGTGGTCTTTAAGGATGAGGCCCATGTAGTCCCCAGTGGCCTTGGAAATACAAAGAACAAAAGTGAACTTGGTTTGGCCATCCATGATTGTGAGATGTTGCAACTCTTCCTATCTATTGTTTATGCTATCCTAGGTTTAATTCTTTATTCTTTCATTTAATTTCTCTAGGGGTCAAACTCAACCAAGCGATTCTGGATGGCTGACAAATCAGAAAGGTAAAACAATTAAAACAATGGTAAAAACATCCAGAAATTAAACACATATAGTAGCCAAAATAATTACCGTATTTTTTGGAATATAAGACACACCTTTTTCCTATCTAAAAGAGGGTGAACATTTGGGTGCGTCTTATATACTGAATGTAGCCCCACCCACCCACTGTTTCCCACCCTTTGGCCTCTGCCTCCCAGCAATTTACCTCCTTGCAGCAAACGGGGAAAACTTGCTGTTTGCTCCACAAGGCAAATTGCTGGGAGGCAGAAGCAGATTTTTTTTTCTTGTGCTAATCAAGCTGTTTGCTGCAAGAAGGAAAGTCAATCACTATAAATGCCTATAGAATGTTCAAATTATTACTTATTTTTTAAATACTGCTTTATTATTATTCTACACAGCTTAACAAAATGAAAAGCTTTTTAAAATAAATGCTTGATCTGAAGAGGCCCCGTGCTATTGTATCTTCTTTTAAATAGCAGAGAATAACTATACTTCCAGAAAGCACATCAATTTTGTACATCAGCGTCTGTACAAATATAGTCTGAAATATAACACTACAAACAGTGTACATTGTCTGTACTGTTTGCTGTTTGTTGCAAGGAGGCAAATTGCTGGGAGGCAGAAGCAGATTTTTTCCCCCTTGTTTTCTTCCCCTAAAGCTAGGTGCGTCTTATACTTCGGAGTGTCTTATACTCTGAAAAATTGCTAACTAACAATAAAGCCAAGAAACGAGACTTCAAAAGCAGAAAACAGCAGAAGGAAACCACACTTGTAATTTAACATTGCTCTCTAGTTAAACTAAACGTCAGGTAACATTTTGCAAAGTGCAAAATCTGAGGAAGAAACAGTAATTGAAGATATTGGGGTAAAGAAGAGAAACTGAAACAGAGCTAAATCTATGTTACACCAACCGTGAACATCAGTCGTACTGAACAACAACTGCATTTTAATGCCAACATTCTCAAACACATGTGAAAAACAAACTATCCTTATACTTTCTACCCTTAAGCCCACTGGGTTGAGTTTCCAGGTTCTTGATTTCTTTCCCTGAGAACTTACATCCTTTTGTCCCAGGTACAACACGAAGCGTGTAGACTCATTCTCTGGTTGGTCTCTCTTTTTGGAGTCCGGGTTCTGAATATAGAATTTGAGGGATGTGTAGGCAGCTAAATCCTGGAGATTGCTAGGAGTCCGGATTTGCACACCGGAAGTGCCATTGAACTTCACCGGAACTTTAATCTAGAAGCCAAAAGATCAAAGGAACAAACATTTGATACTGGACACTGCAGGCCTGGCATTAAAAAAATACTGCGGTCCCAGGAGGATCCGCTATTTTGATGCTAATTTGTCCCAACCTCCCTTTAAAAATCCCCCCTTCTAACAAATTCTTCTTGATATCCTGAGGAGCATGAATTAGTTTCTGTCAGTCAAATCCTTAATTGGCTTCACGGATTATGCTTATTTCTATTTGACTGTTCTTAAGGGAAGTGGTGGCTTAGTGGCTAAGATGCTGAGCTTGTTGATCAGAAGGTCGGCAGTTTGGCGGTTTGAATCCCTAGTACCGCATAACGGAATGAGCTCCCGTTACTTGTCACAGTCTCTGCCAACTTAGCAGTTCGAAAGCACGTAAAAATGCAAGTAGAAAAATAGAAACCACCTTTGGTGGGAAGGTAACAGTGTTCCGTGCGCCTTCGGCGTTTATTCATGCCGGCCACATGACCACGGAGACATCTTCAGACAGTTCTTTGGCTTTGAAACGGAGATGAGCACTGCCCCCTAGAGTTGGGATGACTAGCACATATGTGCAAGGGGAACCTTTACTTTTATCTTTTAAGAGGTAAAACATCCCCAGAGTCACACAATTGCGATTTAGGCACTTGGCAACTGGCTTGAAAATTATGAGAGTCATAGCATCATGTGCCCGTGTGATCTCCGTTTGCAAATTTTCTTGTTGTCTTCCAAGCCAAGGGAACGGGGAAGCTGGCAGGGGACCACAAATGGTGATCATGAAACCATGGCACACTGTGACTGTGTGGGATTGACCACCTGGGACAGCCTCAATTGCTGTCGTGAGTTGGCAAGCTCACATGATGTCATGGTTTACAACTGCATCACTTAGTGACAGAATAACAGAGTTGGAAGGGACCTTGGAGGTCTTCTAGTCCAACTCCCTGCTCAGGCAGGAGACCATTTCAGACAAATTCTAAAAACCTCCAGTGTTGGAGCACCCACAACTTCTGGAGGCAAGTCGTTCCACTGATTAATTGTTCTAAGTATTAGGAAATTTCTCTTTAGTTCTAAGTTGCTTCTCCCTTTGAATCATTTCCACCCATTGCTTCTTGTCCTGCCCTCAGTTGCTTTGGAGAATAGCTTGACTCCCTCTTCTTTGTGGCAGCCCCTGAGATATTGGAACACTGCTATCATGTTCCCCCCTAGTCCTTCTTTTCATTAACCTAGACATACCCAATTCCAGCAGCCATTCTTCATATGTTTTAGTCTCCAGTCCCCTAATCATTTCTGTTGCTCTTCTCTGCACTCTTTCTAAAGTCTCAACATCTTTTTTATCATTAAGCAGGGACTACCTGTAATTACCAATCCTGTCCTTGATTGACCAGATTGTACACAAATTGTAAGCCAAGCTGGTCTTCTCTTGAGGACCTAACCTCTGACATATAACTTTGTTTTGAAATCCCACCATGGCAGAGCGCAGGAACATCAAACATTGGGTGACTTTAAAGCCTTCCTACCTGTTAGAATATTCATGACTGGGAGAGACATGGTAACAAGGTCAGCCAATGGGAGCTTAAACAGATCTGAGCCTGTGCTGAGAATTGAAACTAACTGTCCCCTCCTGCTTGTGTTCTGCTTGCAACTTCTACCATGTTGAAAGAATCTACTATTGGTATAGTTATTAGTTCATCTGTTATTAGTTATATCAAGAAGTTAATGAATCTAGCTGAATTAGTTATCTGGATTTGATTTTTCTGCAACAAACTCTGACATTACCTTACTGACAGCATTCCGGGCCAATGAGATCAGTTGGCGCACCCGCAGGATATTGTCCAAAACAGTTGCATTGTGGCTTCTTCTGTTTTCCAGGCTGGTCAGCTTTCCCAGGAGGACTGGGAGGGTGCTTTCAAGACTCGAGACTGGACAGCCGAAATTTTTTTGAGAGGAAACCCACACACCAACCCAATGGAAACAAACAAGTCACAGAGGAAACATGTTACACATGCTGGATTACAATTTAGTTCCAAAAAGGAGTTTCAAATCTTCTATTTCAAAATTGCCTTCAATGTCATTATGAGCTCTGATAATTTCAGTGTTTGTTTCAGATGACATTTCAGGGAAAGACAGAAGAAAGCAAATGTAGAAGAGGAGACAGAATTACACAGAATCTGCTAGGTTTTTTTGTTGTTAAAATAAGACTGAAGAAAACCAGAAAGTAAAAAAAAAAAAAATGTATCTTTTTTTCTTTCCGCATTCTGTCTCAAAAACACAATGACCCTGACTGATATTTTGTATCTTACATTTTTTATATCCTGCCTTTATTACTTTTTAACTAAAGGCACTGAACATAGCTACTGTATTTTTCAGACTATAAGACGCTCTGGAGTATAAGATGCACATTAGCTTTAGAGGAGGAAAACAAGAAAAAAAAATCTGCTTCCGCCTTCCAGCATCCATCCAGTATTTATCTCGCTAGTTTCCTTGCAGCAAACAGCCTGGTCAGCTTCAGGACATTATCACAGGCCCGGCACGTGGCTCGTCAGGGCTCCGTTCCATTGCGCCCACTGCTGATCAACTGAGCTGAGCTGCTGCTGCCGCCACCGAACCCTGGAGCCTTCGCTGCTGAGCAGCTGATTGGAGGTTGGATTGGGCTCCCGGAATGCCACCGATCAGCTGTTCTAGGCGATGGGGATCACCACTGCCTATCACCACCGCTGATGCCGCTATTCACCGCTGCCTAAGAATAGCTGATTGGCGGTATTCCAGGAGCCCGATCCAACTGCCAATCAGTTGCTCGGCAGCAAAGATTTCAGCATTCCCCGGTGGTGGGAACCCCCCCTCTCACCTGTAATATTTGCTCTATAAGACACACAGTCATTTACACCCAGTTTTGGGGGGAGAATTGCGTCTTATAGTGCAAAAATATGGTAATACTTTTTCTTCACAACAGTTTTTATGTCTAAGGCAGGACTAGAATTAAGTCTCCTGGCGATTGGCCCAAAGTCACCCAGCTGGCTTTCATGCTTAAAGCAGGACTAGGATTCACCATCTCCTAAAGATTGTCCCAAAGTCAATCAGCCATCTTTCATGTCTAGAATGGGACTAGAATTCACAGTCTCCCAGTTTCTAGCCTGGAGCCTTAACCTAGACCAAACTGGCTTTCGAAAAACATTAAACAACATTTCCTCAAAAGGCATTTATATCCAAATCCTCTTCCAAAGTATTTTTAATAGAAAAGAGAACCCATACCCACAAATGAATCTCGCTAACAGGCAGAATCGCTTTATCCAAAGAAACAGAAAGACTGAAGGAATGGGAATTACGCACCAGTATTCTTGACATCACGGGTAGCTTGATTTAAATCTTCACTTCTTAGATCTCCATACTGTTTTTTCCATTCGTCCACGTTTTTCTTCATGTCACTCAGTTTTCCTTCCACCGTGGCCACTGTCTCGTTGGCCTTTAAGGCTGCGTCTTTGGCCTTCTGGATTTTCTCCGATGCATCGTCTTGCAAACAAAAAGAGACAGGGTGCAAAATTAAAAAAGCTGAAAACAAAAAACCAAGCTCCCAGAATTTAGATGAAAGAAATGTGCAGAGTCAGGAAGAACAAATGCAACAATCAAGTAGCGTAAAAATTGTCCTACGTGATTCGGAGAAAACCGTTAGCCGAGTGAAACTCATTGCATTTCATGCATTAATGTTGTATGATCAGACCACCAGCAAAGTGATGGAGAAAATCTATTATTTATTTACTCATTTTAATGTATTTATGAAATTTAAATGCAGCCCATCTCACTATCAAGCAACTCTGGGTGGCTTATAGTACCATAAGTAACAAGATAGACAATGAAAAAGTTAAAAATATTATTACAGGTAGTCCTTGATGTACAACCATTCATTTAGTGACCGTTTAAGGTTACAACGGTCCTGAAAAAACCAATAAGACTGTGTCAGGCCAGCAGCCATTTTTTCTTTTGGATCTTTGTCCTGCCACACTTTCTATGATTCTACTATGCATTTTCTATTGTGGGAAAAAGGGGTGGGGGGAGGATTGTATGGACTTAGATGCTATGTAGCCATAACAAAATTCTTTCTAGAAGCCCAAGGTCATCCTTTGTCTTTGCATCTCAGCACCTGACCGGAATTGGATGGGTGGAAGCTGCCAGTGTAGTAGTGAAAGATTGGACCATGTGATGGACTTGTGGGTGTGGGGACAGGATCTTGAACTTTAAACTGGGTGGGGAAAACCGGGAAGGTTTCAGATTCAGGTTTCCCCAGATGTGCCAAGATGTCTCTCTTAATAAATTGGAACTTTGAGTAATACTTTGCCTTGGACTCTGATTTACTTTGGATGCGATTTGGAACCCTGACAGACTGTTTTTCACACTTATGACCGTTGCATTATCCCCATGGCCAGGTGATCAAAATCCAGACGCTTGGCAACTGACTCATATTTATGACCGTGGCAGTGCCCTGGGGTCATGTAATCCCCTTTTGCCACCTTCTGACAAGCAAAGTCAATGTCAAACAACTGCAGGGATTCACTTAACAACAGGAACCCAAAAGGTCGTTAAAGGGGAGCAAAACTCAACAAATGTTTCTCAAAATCCAGTTGAGAAAGTTGCAAATGGTGATCCCCTAACCCTGGGATCCTGTGACCCTTGTAAATACAGGCCAGTTGCCAAGTGTCCAAATTTTCATCATACGACCATGGGGATGCCACAATGCTCATAAAAACTGCTCATAAGTCAAGGTTTTCAATGCCATTGTAACCTTGAATGGTCAATAAGCGAATGTTTGTAAGTCAAGGACTACCCGTATGGATGTTTGGGAAATCTGTGAAGTCGTTGTAAGCATTAGAGGCTTACCATGGACCATGCCCAACTTGTTCTTCGCGGAGTTCAGCTGGTTTAGAAGTTGCTCCTTCTTGGTTTGGGTGCCAGCCAATTTGTTTTTGGCTGCCTCCAATGCTCCCTTGACTTGGATTAAAATAAAATAAAAATGTAACAAGAGTTATCAAAGTTCCAATCAGGATTTCGGGAAGTAACATTTCAATTAGCAACATTAAGAATACAGCCTGGAAATGAAAAATGTTTTACTTATGTTTTAATTGAAGGAGATAAGTGATAATACAATTATGTTGTTAAATAGATTAATAACGATACAATGAAAGACTGACATATATATATGAATTGAATAATTTAGAATATTTTGTTTTAAAATGAAGGATAAGGATAATAATGAGTCTATGTACATTTGATAGAGGATCGGGTGATATTATGCATAACTCTAAGTAGTGTATATTATAAAGATATCTTGTTGATAAATAGTTTTAATAAGGGAGTAATGAAAGATTGGTATATATATGAAGTGAATAATTAGAATACTTTGTTTAAAAATGAAGGAATAACATTACATATATACATGTTTGAGTGTATAATGTACAAGGACAACAATGAATATAAGCATACTTGATAGATGATTGGCGGGATTATGCATAATTGAAAGTAGT